GCGCTGAAGTTAATTAATTGGGTCATTAATAAGGGTTAATTAATGTGTTAATTATAGGAGGTTAATTAATGTAGGGTATAAAAATGGGGTTAATTAATGGGGATTAATAAATGAGGTAATTAATGGGGTAATTAAATGGGGTTAATAGATGAGATAACTAATGGGGTTAATTAATGGGGAATGAATGGGGTTAATTAGCTGGGTAATTAATGGGGGTTCATTAATGGGATTAATTAATGGTGCTCGATTAATGGGGTTCATTAATGGGGGTGATTAATGGGGTTAATTAGTGGGGTTAATTGAGGGTTATTTACAGCTGAGTAATTAATGGAGTTAATTAATGGGGTTGATTAATGGCGGTTACTAATGAGGTTAATTAATGGGGTTAATTAATGGGGTTAATTGATGAGGGTTAATTACTGCTGGGGTAATTAATGGGGTTCAATAATGTAATTAATGGGGTTAATTAATGGGGTTGATTTGATTAATGGGGTTTAATGGGGATTAATTAATTTGGTAATTAAATGTGCTCAATTAATGGGGTGATTAATGAGGTTAATTAATGGGGTTCATTAATGGGGTTAATTACTGGGGTTAATTGATGAGGGTTAGTTATTGCTGGGGTAATTAATGGCTGTTGATTAATGGAGTCATTAATGGGGTAATTAATGGGGTTAATTAGTGCGGTAATTAATGAGGTTATTAATGGGGTTCATTAATGGGGTTGATTATTGGGGTAATTAATGAGGTTTATTAATGGGGGTAATTAATGGGGTCATTAATGGGGTTAATTAATGGGGGTCATTAATGGGATTCGTTAATGGGGTTTAATGGGGATTAATTAATGGGGTTAATGGTGCTCAATTAATGGGGTGATTAATCAGGTTAATTNCGCTGAACCGGAAGTGGGCGGGGCCTGGGGGTGTTGGCAAATAAAGAACAATTTGTTAATTAGCCTCGTTAATTGATTCATTAATTAGGGGTTAATTAAGGGGCTGGGGGTGGTTCAGGGAGGTGTTAATTAATGGTTAATTCATTAATTAACGCTTATTAATTACACTTAATTAATTAATTACACATCATTAATTAATTACTGCGAGGGTTAATTGATTCTTGAGCGCGCTAATGACCACAGTGGTTAATTAGGGGGGATGTTAATTAATTGGGATTGCGTAATTAGAGGGGGTGGTTGATTACGGGTGTTAATTGGGGCTAATGGATTTAATTAATTTAATTGGGTTAATTAATTCTGGGTGTAAATGGGGTTTAATTAATTAATGGGGTTGGTTAGTTGGGGAGGTTAATTGGTGGCATTAATGGCAGCAGTTAATTAGCCGTGGGATTTGTTAATTGGCACTTTAATTAACGGGGTTAATTAATGCTGGGTAATTAATGGGGTTAATGTTTGGGTTCATTAATTCTGGGTTAATTAGTGGCATTAATTAATATGAGACTTAATAGTGGCGGGTTAATTAATGCTGGGGTTCATTAATGGGGCAAATTAATGGGTGTTAATGCTGGGATTAATTATTGGGGTTTGTTAATTGGGGTTAATGGGGTTAATTAATGGGGCTCATTAATGCGGGGCTGATTAATGGGGGTTTATTAGTAGGGTTAATTAATGAGGGTTAATAGGGTTAATTAGCGCTGAAGTTAATTAATTGGGTCATTAATAAGGGTTAATTAATGTGTTAATTATAGGGGGTTAATTAATGTAGGGTATAAAAATGGGGTTAATTAATGGGGATTAATAAATGAGGTAATTAATGGGGTAATTAAATGGGGTTAATAGATGAGATAACTAATGGGGTTAATTAATGGGGAATGAATGGGGTTAATTAGCTGGGTAATTAATGGGGGTTTATTAATGGGATTAATTAATGGTGCTCGATTAATGGGGTTCATTAATGGGGGTGATTAATGGGGTTCATTAGTGGGGTTAATTGAGGGTTATTTACAGCTGAGTAATTAATGGAGTTAATTAATGGGGTTGATTAATGGCGGTTACTAATGAGGTTAATTAATGGGGTTCATTAATGGGGTTAATTGATGAGGGTTAATTACTGCTGGGGTAATTAATGGGGTTCAATAATGTAATTAATGGGGTTGATTAATGGGGTTGATTTGATTAATGGGGTTTAATGGGGATTAATTAATTTGGTAATTAAAGGTGCTCAATTAATGGGGTGATTAATGAGGTTAATTAATGGGTCGATTAATGGGGTTCATTAATGGGGTCATTAATGGGGTTAATTACTGGGGTTAATTGATGAGGGTTAGTTATTGCTGGGGTAATTAATGGTTGTTGATTAATAGAGTCATTAATGGGGTAATTAATGGGGTTAATTAGTGCGGTAATTAATAAGGAGAGTGAATTACTGCTGGGGTTATTAATGGGGTAATTAATGAGGTTATTAATGGGGTTCATTAATGGGGTTGATTATTGGGGTAATTAATGAGGTTTATTAATGGGGGTAATTAATGGGGTCATTAATGGGGTTAATTAATGGGGGTCATTAATGGGATTCGTTAATGGGGTTTAATGGGGATTAATTAATGGGGTTAATGGTGCTCAATTAATGGGGTGATTAATCAGGTTAATTGATGGGGTGATTAATGATAATTAATGGGGTGATTACTGAGGTTAATTAATGGGGTAATTAATGCTGGGTGGGCTGAACTGGGAGGGAACTGGGGGTTGTTGGTTTATACTGGTTTGTACTGGTTTATACTGGTTTGTACTGGTTTATATTGGTTTATACTGGTTTATACTGGTTTATACTGGTTTGTACTGGTTTATATTGGTTTGTACTGGTTTATATTGGTTTATACTGGTTTGTACTGGTTTATACTGGTTTGTACTGGTTAATACTGGATTATACTGGTTTATACTGGTTTATACTGGTTTACACTGGTTTGTACTGGTTTGTACTGGTTTATACTGGTTTGTACTGGTTTATACTGGGATGGACTGGGAGGACAAACACGGGTTTACTGGGAGCACTGGTTTGAACTGGTAGAGGGTTTGGGGATTACTGGTTTGAACTGGTTTGAACTGGTTTGAACTGGGAGAGGGTTTGGGGGTTACTGGTTTGAACTGGTTTGAACTGGGAGAGGGTTTGGGGGTTACTGGTTTGAACTGGTTTGAACTGGTTTGAACTGGGAGAGGGTTTGGGATAACTGGTTTGAACTGGGAGGATGAACTGGGGGTTACTGGTTTATACTGGGAGCACCGGGAGGGGTCACTGGTCCTTACTGGGAGGAACTGGGCTGAACTGGGACAAACTGGGAGCACCAGGAGGGGACTGGGAGTTACTGGTTTGAACTGGGAGAGGGTTTTGGGGTTACTGGGATGAACTGGTTTGAACTGGGATGAACTGGGAGGGGAATTTGGGGTTACTGGTTTGTACTGGTTTATACTGGGAGGGACTGGGAGCACCAGGAGGGAACTGGGAGTTACTGGTTTGAACTGGGATGAACTGGGAGAGACTGGGAGCACTGGGGGTCACTGGTCTGAACTGGTTTGAACTGGTTTGAACTGGTCTGAACTGGTTTGAACTGGGAGGTTCCCAGTCCCAGGGCCGGAGTTGCTGACTCAGCGCGGCCCCGCCCAGTCCCTCCCAGTTTGGGAGCGGAGCCAAACTGGGAGAGGCCCGAGGGCAACTGGGAGGGACTGGGACAAACTGGGATGGACTGGGAGGGAACTGGGATGGACTGGGACAAACTGGGATGAACTGGGATGAACTGGGATGGACTGGGATGGAACTGGGAGGGAACTGGGAGGGAACTGGGATGAACTGGGATGGACTGGGAGGGACTGGGATGGAACTGGGAGGGAACTGGGAGGGAACTGGGAGGGACTGGGATGGACTGGGATGGGCTGGTCTGAACTGGTTTTCACTGGGAGCCAACTCTCCCGCCGTTTTTCCCCTTTATTCCCTCGCTTTTCATTGGGGGGGAGGGGCTGGGGAGGACCTGGGGGTGCCCAGGTGTGTCACAGGTGTGCCCAGGTACCCCCAGGTGTGCCCAGGGACCCCCAAGTGTGCCCAGGTGTGTCACAGGTGTGCCCAGGGACCCCCAGGTGTGCCCAGGGACCCCCAGGTGTGCCCAGGGACCCCCCAGGTGTGTCCAGGGACCCCCCAGGTGTGTCCAGGTACACCCCAGGTGTGTCCAGGTACCCCCAGGTGTGTCCAGGTACACCCCAGGTGTGTCCAGGTACCCCCAGGTGTGCCCAGGTGTGTCACAGGTGTGCCCAGGGACCCCCCAGGTGTGTCCAGGGACCCCCCAGGTGTGCCCAGGTGCCCCCCAGGAGCCCCTCAGATGTCACAGGTGAGGTCATGGAGCCCCTCAGGTGCTCCCCAGGTGCCCCCAGGTGTGCCCAGGTGTCCCCAGGTGCCCCTGAGATGCCACCCAGGTACCCCCAGGTACCCCCAGGTGTCACAAGGAGCCCCTCAGGTGTCCCCAGGTAAACTCAAGGAACCACTCAGGTGTTCAAAGGAACCATTCAGGTGTCACAGGTGAGGTCATGGAGCCCCCCAGGTGTGTCCAGGTGTGTCCAGGTGCCCCCCGGTTGCCCCCAGGTGCTCCCCAGCTGTCCCCAGGTGTCCCCAGGTGCCCCCAGGTGTCCCCAGCTGCCCCACAGGTGCCCCCAGGTGTCCCCAGGTGCCCCCCAGGTGCTCCCCAGGTGCCCCCAGCTGTCCCCAGGTGCGCCCAGGTGTCCCCAGGTGCTCCCAGGTGCGCCCAGGTGCCCTCGAGATGCCCCCCAGGTGCTCCCCAGGTGTCCCCAGGTGCTCCCCAGGTGCCCCCAGCTGCCCCACAGGTGCGCCCAGGTGTCCCCAGGTGCTCCCCAGGTGCCCCCCAGGTGTCCCCAGGTGTCCCCAGGTGCTCCCCAGGTGTCCCCAGGTGCCCCCAGGTGTCCCCAGGTGCTCCCCAGGTGCCCCCCAGGTGTCCCCAGGTGTCCCCAGGTGCTCCCCAGGTGCGCCCAGGTGCACCCAGGTGCGTCAGTCGCCGCCGTTGTCGCGGATGGTGCGGCGGATCCAGGCGGTGAAGGCGCAGACGCGGCTGTACACACCTGGCTTGCCCTGCTGGCCGCACACCTGCAGCCCCCAGGAGACCACGCCCTGCAGGTACCCCCCGCACACCAGCGGGCCCCCGGAGTCACCCTG